TTTTCCCTATTAATAACAATAATAATACTTTATTTGCAGTCACAGACCAAAACAAAAGTACAACAAAAGAAGAACATGGGAAAATTAATCATGAACAATTGGTCACCAAAAACTTGACTAAGGGGAATTACAGCGTTCTCCTCTGATGGTTACAGCTCTTAAAAAAAAAATGGAAACCAAAGAAGTGATATATGAGGAGCCATCCCCTGGACAATATAAGAACATATTACTAACATTGGGTCTAGAAGGGTCTGTTTCAAGGAGAGACAGTAACTTAGATCTCCCTGCATTGTACATAGGGCAATATAAAAGGACATGCCCCACAGTTTCAACCTCAGCTCTGTCACAAGGGCATAGCTGCTCGTTAATCGGGAGACTCTTAAATTGCCCATCCATTAGTGCTGAGGGCAGAACATTAAAGCGAGCTAGGAAGAAAGCTCTTCTATACTTGGGAATGGCTAGAGTGTAAAAATAGGAAGCCATCCTCAGTCTGTAATTATTAAATTGACTGAAAATCAGAGGGGAGCAAGTTTTGTTAGCTCTGGCTCGTAGATATTGCAAGTCAATGTCCACAAGCCATTGGACTACCCTAAATTGGGCGTCCTTAAGGCCATAATCTCCCAGGGCATCCCCCATAAAAAACTAGCGGGTGTAATTTCTTCATCAGCTCCCTCTCCCAACGAGAAATATGAGAGTCAGCAAACGCCAGGAAGAGGTAGCTACCAGGAACTGCCAGAAAGAGCACCCGAAACTACCATTTAAAGGTATTAATCCATGCCATACATTCGACTGATCGAGTGCCCAGTTCCAGGTACATCGGAGCAAAACCAACACAAGGAGGAAGACCCAGAAGTTTTCTAAAAAAGACAGCCTGGGTTCTTTCAATACAATCCTTGAAGCCCCATATCCATATGGGAATTCCGTAAAGAGTTTGAGCCAGAGTTTTGGCTTTGTAAATATGCAGAGCAGAAGGAATAAACTGGCCTCCTTGGGTATAAAAAATCTTAAAATCTGTTGGTGAGTACAGGAGGCTGAGTTCAGCACCTGGGTTCGATGTCTAGCCCAAACACCAGTGTTCTGAAATACCTAAATACTTAAAGTGGAAAAAACCTGCTTAACAGCATTACCATTGATAGCCCAGTTATACAATTTCCGGGCTCTAGAGAACAACAATACTTTGGATTTGTCGTAATTAATAGACAAATGGTTCTCAGCACAGTAGGACCCGAATGCAGAAAGTAATCTTTTCAGACCTGGCCTTGACAATGAAAGGAGGGCTGCATTGTCAGCATAAAGGAGAAGCGGGATCTTTGTAGTTGACAACTTTGGGGTGTGGGACTCAATATGTCCAATGTGAAAGGCCAAGTCAGATAAGAATAAATTAAACAAAAGAGGAGCCAGAACACAACCCTGCCTTACTCCGTTCTTAACTGGGATAGGATTTGAAAGTTCTCCCTGCAGACCACACCTGACCTGACTAGAGGTCTGGTTGTACAAGGATCTAATTAGGAACAGAAGACGTCTATCGATAGAACTTTTGAGCGGTTTTGACCACAACAGTCCCCTAGGGACTGAGTCAAATGCTGACTTTAGGTTGATAAAAGCAGTAAAAAGTTTGCCACCTGGGATGGTAGTATATTTATCGACCAGGTGCACTAAGACAAAGCAGTGGTCCAGTGTGGCACAGCCCGCTTTAAACCCAATCTGTTCAGCACCAATAATATTGGACTCCTCAACCCAGGTGAGGAGTCTATGTTGGAGATACTTAGCATACAGTTTCCCAATGATGGAGAGCAGACTTATGGGGCGATAGTTGGCTGGATTGTTCCTATTTCCTCGTTTAAAAACTGGAACAATAATTGTTAAGCTCCAGGAGGTAGGGATCCTGCCAGAGGTATTGATATGCATGAAGATCCACCACTCGGGATTGGATTTTAGCAGATCAGAGGGTATAGCATCAGGGCCAGGAGCTTTGCCTGACTTGAGTTCGGAGATAAGCTCAGTAATATCAGCATGAGCGATGGGTTGCCAGTCAGGAACTGCAGGAGGCAGCTGTAGCCCAAGCACAGTCAAACTTGTTGATGCCTGGAAAATTGCCAATAAATGATTTTCCCAATCTGTTGGAAATACAGCAGAGAGGGAGTTCTTGATGACCCAGCAAGGAGCTGGCAACAATTTGCCAAAATAATCGAGTGTTCTTCTGCTGGATGGAGAGGAGAAGTAGATTCCACTTCTCTCTCTCTTTAGCTTTCTTTTTCTTAGCAATTAGTCCTTTATACTCCCGCTTCAAGTGATAGTAGTCCTCTGGTGGGCATTTATCGCCTCGATTACGATAGAGCAGGTAAACCCGATTAATCTGGTTCCTGAGCATCAGACACTCTTTGTCAAACCAAGAATTGTCTTGAATAATATGGACCACTCGGACTATGGACAGCTCCTAGCTCCCTTTGAACACTATTAATCAGTGATTCAAAGGCCAAGATTGTCCCTGGGCCACTACTTGTTAGGGCCTGATTGTATAGGCTGAGACACTCCGGAGATGATAAAAAGGAGTGGAGCTTTCTTTCAGTATTAGAAGACCATTTGACCCTCCTTGTATATGAGGCCACATAGGGATCTAATATCTGGGGACCCCTAGGGCAGTGATGGCTAACCTTTTCACCTTGGTGTGTTGAAAATCGGGAAAAAGTGTAGCCTTCCTCAGGTCGTGTGTCAGTTCAAGAAATATCAATAATTTGGTAATATTTGCAGCTCTAATAAAGAAAGAGTTATATTTTTAATATATTTATTATATTTATTAGTTCAAAAAGCTAAACGTTTTGGAGATTTTTTTTTGAAGGGTTTGCATGGTGCTCTGTGAGGATGGTGAGAAGCAAGAACTGCAAGAGCTGCTATGGAGGCAATTAAAGCTTAGAGGAGCTGGAGAGGGGCTGAATGCTGCAGACTAGACATCCAAGCGTTTTACAGTGGGAGAGAAGAAGGGAGAGCCACAAAGACAGAAATGCAGATTTTAGTATTAATTGCATTTACAGGACAGCCACCCGATGCTGCTTATCATGAGCACTGTGTCTGGTTGTTGTGGTGCAGTCCTCCTGCGATGTTTATGACGGACTGGGCTGGGGTGATCACACAGGGCTGTGAAACTCGTCTCCCTGGTCTCAGAGCTGCAAGTGCAGGATGTGGGGATCGGAAGGCCACCTTACAGGGCTGTGAACCTCATGGATCTCCTTTCCTCCTGTAGCGTTCCTGAGGTAATGAAACTGACAAACCTCAGTTTATCGAGGTTAAAACTGGTTCTCTGGTGGCAGCAGTGACACCATGCCTCCACGCAACAAGCAGGGAGCAGGGATTGGAGCAGAGCACAGGCAGCCTCTAAATGTGCAGGTTTTCCCCACACTAACAGGCGTGTCAGTCAAAGTGCCTCAGTGTGTCACGAGTGACACGCGTGTCATAGGTTAGCCATCACTGCATTAATGGGATAAATGATGAGGGCTACCTGTTTCGACTGTAAGACCAGGTGACTGTTTGCGTCAAAAGATGTAAAGTTTGAACTATTGGTAGGATTACGTTGGCCAGTGCTTTTGCTGAGGCTTGGCAGGGAGAACCGCCGCATCAGGCTGCCGAGCAGCCAGCCCAGGGCACCCACTGGTAGTCCAGGAAACTAAGTAGTTTAAAGTACTTATTATTTTATCAAGCTGGAGCTGAATGCTCGCTGTAGTTTCTGCGACCAAGAAACATTGCTGAGCCAAAAGTTCTGTAAGGGTGGGCTCATTTAAGGATTGGTTGGGGGCTGTAGTTTTAGATAAGCCTTTGTACTCAACTCAGGGGGTGATGCCCTCAACCATCAGAAGATTGCAACAACTGGCAGCAGCCAGACAAAAGCGAGCAGGAGCTTTCAAACCGAGAGGCCGAGCTAAAACAAAGTCCTCTATCTTGGATTGCTTCAGAGAAGGTTGAGGAACTGGGTCAGTGAGAGATCTGCTCCTTTTCCTTGTCTTCATTATATTAAGTAGCACAATAATGGAGGAGTTGTGTAATATAGCATAGAGTCTAGTCACTGAAACAAGTCCTTAATCCAGAGGAAAAGGAATCGGAAGTGTAGAAGAAATGAGTCCTAATGCAAATAGTGGCAGAGCTCCTCACAAGTATACCAAGGATCCTGCCCTCCCAACAGAGCAGGGAACATGACTAAATAAAAATGATAAAATAATAAAAATAGTGGATAAAAATAGAATAAATTAGATAAGAGAAATCACATCAAAGCTAGGCATTGCTAGACTTCCAGCTGAAGGAGTAAGATGTGTAGAACAACAAAACAAAGAAGAAGAAGCAAGGCCTTCCTATAGCTGAGGCCCAGCTCAGGCTTTTTTAATAAATTCAGCTAAACCATAGCTGAAATATAACTAAAAGTGGATTAGTAATCACACTGCAAAAATTTCAAAAATGTAAAGGGTTTAAAAATAAATAAAAATTTGAGGACTAAGATATGATAGAAAAATAGCCTTAAAAGCAGGTAATAATTAGAATAGGCTAATTTAATCTTAGTTAAGTAGAGAACCTATTTGCCTGCTGCTCTCCAGGGAAGCTTCCTTCCAGGTGGTGCCTCTTGAATTGTGCATGTAAGAACTCTTTCCTTTTCTCTCCTGAAAAAGTTTGAATGTGGTCAAAGAAGGTTCTTTGCAGTTTGTTTGCAGTGGCAACTTGATATCTGTGTTGGTTGGTTTGAAGAAAAGGTTGCTTGAACTACAGCCGAGGATGAATCAGCAAAGGAAGAAAAAGACCAAAAGAGCGCCGAGGAAGACAGGCTCCTAATAACCAGCCTGTTTCAACAGACAAGAGTTTGACCTTTTTTCAACTCCAAGATGACTTATTGTTAATTCTCTTAGCTGCTTCACTGAATTCTTTACTCCTTTTTCCCTATTCAGTAGTTAAGCAAATAAGATTGTGTGAAACAATCCAAGAGTTTTGACCATAAAAAAGTGCCATGTTTTCCATTTCAGGATTTCTTCAGCAAATCTGATCCCTTTCTGGAAATCTTCCGAATGAATGATGATGCAACCCAACAGCTTGTTCATAGGACCGAGGTAAGTTGAGAAATATCATGTACATACACAAACATACTCACCTAAATAAAATGTTTATTTGTAAATTCACAATTTCTTTTGAGGGTATTGTTCTATTTGTACCACTCTTTTTTTAATACCGCCACTGAATTATGTGATTCTTGTCTGGGATGCTACAACAGACACTTAGGCCTTCAAAAAGTGCTATATTATAAATATTATATATCCTGTTTCTAGGGTATAACTGAAGAGTGATAATCTTACTAAATTTAAGAAAAGCTTGGTTGTTGGAAAGCTTGGAAAACAGCAAGATATATTTCAGTTCCATTCTTTGTCATTGTTACAATCTTAACTTAATTTCTCCTCTTCATGCTGGACTATTCGATGCCGAGGCAGTTATAAATCATCAGATCCTCACACTTGCTATTTTCATGGATGGGAAACTTATATTGAAACAAATGGAAGCTCACCCTCTTGCTAATTGTGGCCCTTGAACTAAATCAGTGTTTCTCAATCTTGCAATTTTAAGATGTGTGGGCTTCTTAATTTCAAGAATTCCCCAACCAGGATAGAGTAGAGAAAGCTAGGAGATGTTCACACATTTAATGTTGCCAAAACTGAGAAGCACTAATGTAGATTATAACCAGAATAAAAAGCAATGTATTAGGTCTCCCCTAGAGTGCAATTCCTATTAATTCCCTCTGGTTGCAGATATATAAATGTATACTCAAAAACCAACCATACAAAAAACACAATAGTGGTGGGTTCTTCACACTTTTAAAAGCAAAAGGGATTGTGAAAGCCTGCTTTTTACTGGAGTGGGGAGCTTTGGTGTTGTGCTGTGCCATTTTTTGTATGAATAGCATAATGAGCAAGTACTTCAATATCCAAAGAATAAATAATCATTTAAAGACTATCTGGAAAAATTCACAAATGGTGCAAGTGTTATGGAAAATGTAATTGTACTTGGATTGCATGCATACTTTGGATAGCCAAACAGCACGTTGTAATTGATTGTTTTTTCTCCTCATTTTCTGCTAAAATAATTCCATGAATGAAAATCAAGGAATTATAAAATAGCTAAAAAGTGTAATCGTTCCTTGCATCAATGTCTCCGTGTCCACTGATAAGATCAGAGTATTGTACACTATATTTGTGATCGCAATATTAATTCCATACTAGTGTAAATGTTGCTAGCAGTGCTCTGGAAAAAAATGTTTCTAGCACATCATTAAAGACATTTATTGTAGCAAAATCTTCTCTCTGGAAACTTATTATTTAAGCAGAAAAGTGGTTGTTTCAGTCTAAGCAGAAAGAAAACTATTGGAATAGTGATCAGCTGAGGATGTTCTCACTCTCATTTGGAAAACCCAAAATGCCATGGAAAGACATATATGTTACAAGATAGCTTTGTATAATAAAAATTGACCCATTTTATTTCCACTTCTAATCTTTTATCCAAAGACATTCTATGGCTACTGAGCATGCCATCTTCTCATTATGATATTGGGAGGAATTCATTTCCTTAGGTTCTCTCCATAAATATAGTTTGCTAGCTAACATTTCCTGTTTGTTCCCTTAGCTCAGGGGTCACCAACCTTTTGAATCTCAGGGACCACCAAATTCATACTTTTAAATCCTGAAGACCACTAATATGATTTTTTTAAAAAAGCTAATATATATATATTAGCATTATATATATATATATATATATATATAGATCTTTGGTTGTTCGGGATTTCTCCCGCGTAAGATTCGAAGTATCTAGGCAACGTTTCGATGAAGTCTCATTCATCATCTTCAGGCTTCTGTCTTCGGCTCTTGCTTCTCAGAGTGATGTGAGATTGCAGCTGCTTCTTCCTTTTAACTGCTAGTGGGGGTGGGACTTGATTGGGTGGGGGCTTGGCTGTGTTCTGATTGGGTGGGGGTGGGTTCTGATTGGTTGGGGGGTTGGCCGTGTTCTGATTGGTTGGAGGCGTGTTCTGTTCAGGTGGGGGCTTGGTTGTGCTCAGGTTAGTCTTAGTTGCTGGGGGATTTGAGTTGGTGAGCTGTGATCTTGCTGTTTGGCTTCGAGTTCGTGGTCGTGCTGCATCTTCATAGTGGGTGTCGGTTTGCTTCATGTATGGCTCGGAGGGGTTTGAAGTGGGTAGTGATGCAGCTGCAGTGCAGCTTCTGGTCCATGGTCGTGTCTCATCTTCTGAGTGGGTGTGAGTCTGTTTTCTACATGGAAATGCGGTGGTGGCATCTTGTGTGGCTCTCATGGGTGTGGGTCTGGTGTCATTCTTCATGTTAGGTACTCGTCTGTTCATGAGGGCGGGTTTCCAAATGGCTGGAAGGCGGGAGGTGTCATCTCGTTTGTTCATGCTGTGTGGGTGTTTTTCTCAGAAGATGAGACACGACCATGGACCAGAAGCTGCACTGCAGCTGCATCACTACCCACTTCAAACCCCTCCGAGCCATACATGAAGCAAACCGACACCCACTATGAAGATGCAGCACGACCACGAACTCGAAGCCAAACAGCAAGATCACAGCTCACCAACTCAAATCCCCCAGCAACTAAGACTAACCTGAGCACAACCAAGCCCCCACCTGAACAGAACACGCCTCCAACCAATCAGAACACGGCCAACCCCCCAACCAATCAGAACACACCCCCACCCAATCAGAACACAGCCAAGCCCCCACCCAATCAAGTCCCACCCCACTAGCAGTTAAAAGGAAGAAGCAGCTGCAATCTCACATCACTCTGAGAAGCAAGAGCCGAAGACAGAAGCCTGAAGATGATGGATGAGACTTCATCGAAACGTTGCCTAGATACTTCGAATCTTACGCGGGAGAAAACCCGAACAACCAAAGATCCACATACAAATACCCACGAGAACCTCAGAAAACAAATATATATACACACACACACACACACACATACATCATACACAAATACACACACACACACACACACACTTATTTAATTATAACAAAAATGTAAATGCTTAATGATAACAAAATAAAATGTTCTGGGCTGGAAACCTCCCCCACCTGGCACCTTCCAAAGAGACAGAAGAGCAGGCTCTGTGTGTGTGTGGGTGTGTGTCTGAGCTGAGGGGTCTCAGGGCAACTGCTGTTGGGAGAAGCAGAGGGAGAAAGGGGGCTTTGCTCTCCTTGGGGGGCAGCGCCCCTTGGCTGCCACTCCAGGGGCTTCTCAGCAGGCATCTGCCTGCAGAAGGACTGCCGCTCTTGGTGATTAATTGGGGGAGGGGAGAAAGTGGGAGCTCCTTTCAGATCCTGGGTGGAGGATTGAGAGGCTCAGATCTGCAGCCGAGGAAAAGCTGGGGGGGGGCTCTTCCAGCCTCACCTGGAGACAGGCAAGGAAAGGTGTCCCTGGGGGCACTTCGCTCGCTTTAGCACTTAGCTGCCAAACTTAGCCACAGCCAGTGATTATTTGGGGGTGGGGGGGGGAAGAGAGAAAGTATCTCTCGCATTACCAGGGGAGGAAAGGAGACAAAACAAAGCTCACTCTCTCACTGAACGGCAAAACGACAATCTACCGTGTTCCAGGAGTTCTTCAAAATCATCAAACGCTCCTACTTGCAGTTCTCGCGCCTCCCAGCTCAGATCCCTGAGATGCATGCTCCCACACATGGCAGCAACAACAGTCCCCATCCCCAGTGCCCGCTGTCAGCTCTCTCCATTAGTTTTCTAGCCTTGAATTGCTCCCGGCTCTCTCTCTTTCCTCCCCCCCACCCACGTGCAGGCAGGAAAGGGAGACGGAGCCTTCCACAGCTCTCCCCTTTTCCAGCCCTTACTGCCTCTCCCAACATCGAAGCCTCAGAAACGCAGGCAAAGCCGCTACAGCGGTAGCGCCCTGAGTTGCTTGCTTCTCCACTACTGCCTCCTCTTCCTCCTCCAGCACCACTTCCTTCTCTGGGTAGGGCATTTCTTAACTAACCGAGCATGCTAAGGCAATTCAGGATGCTGAAACAAGATGGTGGCGCCCAAGCAAACATTCTTTGCGGCCCAGTACAAAATGATCCACGGACCGGTACCGGTCTGGGGCCCAGTGTTTGGGGACCACTGCCTTAGCTGACCCAAGAAGGAAAAGTGAAGACAGCTCCCACTCTTAAAACAATTGCTTGCCAAGCACTGTTGGTTCTATAACTTATTTCAACTGTTTTATTTTGATAATGCTGTTCTATTGTTAACATTCTCATTGGACACATCCTTGAATATTCCAGCAGTGTTCAAGTATGAAATCATATGACAAAGAACATGTGGAAAATACCTATATTTATTCTGAATTTTCTTAAGTGTTGACAGAATGAGAGAAAATCTTTATGGAAATGGCAGTCAGTAGGTTGCTTGTTGAAATAAACTTATTCTTTTCCCTTAATTTCTAGGTGGTGATGAATAACTTAAATCCAGCTTGGAAGGCATTTAAGGTGTCTGTAAATTCCCTTTGCAGCGGTGACCAAGATCGCAGACTGAAGGTTTGTGATCTTTAAACGATGAAACAAATAGATTTGCATTTTTAAAAAACTTTCTTTTTAAAAAAAATTAAAGTTAAAGTCTAGTGCTACTTTTAAAGAAAACTTTATTTTTATGTTTATTTATCCTCAGCCAGTTTGAATTAAATTCTTCACAGCTTTATATTCTTCTAATGACGCTGCATAATATTATGAAAGTCTTTACCACTTTAACTAATAGAAATAAATATTTCAAATTAATTGAAAAATCTAAATATCAGTTCAATTTGCAACTAAGCTGCTCAAATTCTAATACATCTCAAACATAAGGTCATAGAAGCATAATATAAATTTTAAACCTCAGTTCCAAAATCTGATTTTAGTGAGGGACTTTGCTCTTCATGTAAGTGAGTTCTACAGATTCAACTATTTGATATTCTGTGATGGAATCTGTTAGGATTGCATATTTTTATTTAGGGCAGATGCATGCATATAAAGAACCAACATATTCTATTGTACCAAGAGTGAGCATATTTTAATGTCCATTAGCTGCAGAGGAAAAAATGATGAATCACCATGCATAAGTGGGTTCCAGGAGTTTTTAGGTGTTCATGTTTGGGAAAAAAACTATCTATGTTGGGGGAGGTTTTTTTAAAAAAAAAAATTAAAACTGTGTTAAGTCTATTATTGAGTATTGTCAGGGGGAAACCTAATTATGAGTATAGCTGCACTTAATAACAATTGAACAGACAGCACACCACAAAAGGTCTCACTTTAGGATTCAGAGGTTTATTAGAATTAAAGCATAGCAAACATAAAATCACTTACAGTAGCCATATTGCAGTGAGGGTCAATCAGACAAGCAGTCAAGAGGGATGGCTTGAGACTGATCGAAAACCTCCCCTTCTTTACTCTTCCTTTATATACCTTAAGTCCACCAACACACTGACTTTCAGGAATTCTGCCTCCTTGCAACAGAGTAGTTTTGAGAGTTTTTCAGCGATAATTCAGCACCAGAAAAATAAACACAGATGGCTGGTTCATTTAACATCTTTATAAACATATGTAGATTTTACAAACCAGTTGTAGATTTTTCCAACATGGAGCAAACTCAAACAGAAACATGTTGCAAGTTCAGAGCAGAGCTCCAGTCTTCAGCAAGCAAGCAAGTTAGTTTCATCTTCAATAGGCAGACTCAGAGCTCAACATAGCTGCAGAGTTGCAGAGCTTAACATAGAGCCACACCTACACTACTTTTAGTTTCAGTTTCCAGCCTAGGCTACTTCTAGTTTCAGTTTCCAAAACAGTCCTCATTGGCTGATTTAGTTGCTATGCCTGTTCATTGGCTGACCTTGTTACCAAGCTCTATTCCAGTTCATGACACTCCTCCCTTCATAACTGGAATAGACATAAATTCAATTACCTTTAATATTCTTCAGATACCTATATTTGAAGACCCACATTCACAATTCCCTCCAAATATCTTGAGAATTCATTTTTATACCTATCCAATACAATTCCATTGATCCCCACTGTGAGGTGTGGCTCAAAAGACCACCAGGATTCAAAGTTGATCCAAGGAAAAAGGCTTTATTGAATACACATCTGCAGACGTGGGTTCCCCCTTGGCAGCTGGGAGGAACACAAAGCATAGCATTTGCTCTATTCTTATACCCTAAACTACCTCCCCATTATGCAAATGGCTTGGTTTACAATCTATTTTTCAGAACACAGGTTACAATTCATTACTTTATATGGTGCATAGCACGCAGCAAGCACTTCCCTAACACGAGGGCATACATCAACATATCATGCATGGTGGGGCTCAGTTCAACCATTCAATTGGTACCAGGCACTTCGAAGACATTCCAGGATAGTTGAACAGTTTAATTGGTGCCTGGCACTTCCCTACTTCAAAGACATTCCTTTCAACATGAGGTTTGAGTCATAAAAATGGATAATTCAATCTAACACTTCTCACACCACCTTTTAACTTTCCAATGGATATGCAACTATCAGCCTTGCAACTCTTGAACCCAAGACCTTTCAATGCAGTAGCTAAACAGATATTCCAAATCCTGGCTGACTGCTTCAGCCAATAAATGGCCTTGTTCAATTTATATACTATGTTAGACTTTTTGCTTTCATACCCTGGTGCTTGAACCATGTAAATTTCTTCCTCTAATTCTGCATTGAGAAATGCAGTGGTTATGTCAAAATGCCAAATTTTATAGCCATGTGCCGCTGCCAATACTAGTGCCAGCCTGATGTTCTCACTCTTTACAGTTGGTGCGAATACCTCACCATAGTACATATTTTTCATTTGTGAAAACCCCTAAAAACCCCTCACTAACCTTGCTTTATATTGTACTTCATTATTGGGTAGTATTTTTTTCTTGTACACCCACTTGCATCCTACAACTTAGCTACCCCGTGGCAAAGTCAAAGATGAGAACACTTCATGTTCTCTCATGGATTTCATTTCCTTGTCCATGGCTTCTTTCCACTTTACTTGTTCAATTTTAGGTAACGCCAATACTTCTTTGTAATTCCTTGGCTCATACCATACATTACGCACTTTAACTTTACTAGCAGAATTCCTATCAGGTGTAATCCCCTTGTTCCATCACTCTGACCTGCGTGGCACTGACTGCTCCTGTGTGTCAACCCTCTCTTGCTTCATATCTTGTTCAGTTTCTCCTCCCTGAACGCTGACACCATCACTAAGTGAGTTACCATCACTAAGTGGATCACCATCACTAAGTGAATCATTCCATAAATTTGCTCCAGTTCTGTTCCAATTTTGTTCTGCAAAGCTTGCAGACCTTGAAAATATTCTTTTGCTCCCATCGCTAAAGTGATAACTTTTTGAGCCTGGCTCACAGCCCACAAACCTGAGCTTTCTAGCGTTTGGTTGCCCCTTTCTTCTAATTGCCTTTTGGAATATGCCACCCACACATTGCTTCCAAACACCCTTAAATGTGCTAGACATGGTTTTCTCCCATATAGCACTGCATATGGAGTATCATTAATGGAGGAACTCTATAACATATTAACTAAATAGTTAGCAGTCAATATGGCTTCACCCCAATATGACCTGCTTAGACCAGAATCCTCTAGCAGTGAGTCCTTCATGGTTTGCAAGACTCCATTCCGTCTCTCAGCAACACCATTCTCAGCTGCTGTGTAAGGATTTAATCCTAATTGTGCCAACCACTTGTTGACTTGAATTCTGAACCTCTGTCAGTTTGCAGCTGACATACCTGCTGTTTATACCTTTTTTCTACAAAGCTTACCCATTGCTTAAATTTGTGTAGCACTTCTGCTTTACTCTTTAGTAAACGGCAGAACCTAAACCATCTACAAGGACCAGTGCATACTTTGCTCCTCCCAAACTGGCTTGCATTGGGCCCACCAAATCTGCATGTACCAGCTCTAGAGCTCTTGTTGTCTGCCTTGTGCTACTCTTCCTTACTGGGAATGCATTGGACTTTGATGTTTTGCATATTGCACAATCCAAATATGCCTTACATCCCTTTACATGCAATCCTTCTGCATACTGATTCATCTTTTGAACAATTTGAAAATTGGTATGAGCAAGTTTTCTGTGCAAAAGAGGAACACATGAATCATGTTTTGCAACATTGCCAAATGTTTGTGCACATTGAACTTTTTGTCCCTGTAACATATAAAGGTTATCATGCTTTATGCTCTTTGCACATACAATTCCATTTTTCCTTTAAGACACTGCCCATTTACAAATGTGGTTTCAAATCCTTGCTTGTCTAAACTAGAGACACTAGTTTCATTTCTGGCACACATAAAACATTATAAAACCTTGTTTCCAAATATGGAATTTGCACACTGCCTCTTCCAATGACTTTAGCCTTCTTGCCATTTGCCAAGGTTACTGTGTCTCCTGCAGCTGCATCCATCCTGTAAAACAATTTAGCATTATTAATAAACATTTGGCTAGCCCCAATAAGCCATTGATCTCTTCCATTACTATTGCAAGCTTTTGCAACAGTAATCTGTCCATCAACCCGTCCTTGCAAACTTTTTCTGTCTTGCAACAAACAGTCTGTTTTTAAGTGAGATGTCTCTGTTGATGGGTTGTAATCTGATATCCCCTGCTGCTCTTTTCTTCTCTGGAGACAGCCAGTCTATGGAATTTTCCATTCTGCTCCTTGGGTCTCCTCAGGGATTTCTCCTCCTTGAGGCTTTTTCTATAATGGCATTTCTGCTCTTCAGCTATCAGGCTTGCTTTCAGAGCTTCCAGACTCAATTCCTGCTTTGGTTTGCATTCAAACACTGCAGACACAATGTCCCAAGTTTCATCTAGACTGTTTAAAACTAAGAGCACTTTCTGAGATTCAGGAATCCTCATCCCACGTTGTTCTAATTCCACAAAGTTTGTATATGAACAAAATGCTGTTCCACTGAATTTCCTGCCTGCAAACGAGCTCTATATGATTTTCTTGATAATTGTACGATGTTGCATGTAGATCAGAGGTGGTATTCAGCAGATTCTGACCAATTCTGGAGAACCGGTACCGGAAATTTTGAGTAGTTCAGAGAATCGGTAAATATCACCTCTGATGGCAGATTTTACAGTATTCTTACCCTGCCATGCCCACCAAGCCGCACCTATAGAACCAGAAGTAAAAAAAAATTGAATCCCACCACTGATGCACATACACTCACATGAACAGCCCTCAATTTATCCCAGACTTCCTTTGCAGTTTTTAAATCATCTACATTGATAAATCATCTTCTAAACTTAAGATGATATAAGCAAATGCTTATATCCCTGAGGATCATGCAGCTTCTGATCTGCAGCATTCAATGGTACCTGGAGTGGATTTTCAACAATATTCCAAAGCTCTTTAGCCTTCAGGAAACATTCCATCTTTGCAGCCCAAATAATATAGTTCTTTTGACCCAAACTGGGTAGAGAGCTCTCTTTAATTTTTTCAGCCATCCTGCAAAGCCTCTTGCCTTGTTTCTTACTTTTAAAACAGGCA